AATGACCAAAGAGCCTTTTAAAGCTGTAGAGTAAGATTTCGATTTCGTATAAGTATTCGCAAGCCTGTGTATAGTGTCGATATGATGGAATGATATTAATATAAGTACTGTTAGTATGAAAAAGATTCGGTCTCCCCTTGATATATTAAAGGAGAACATCTCAATGACAGAAAAAACACTCTTGCACATAGTATTGATAAAAGTGAAGCCACCTGTACAGCTCTCCTTTATACATACTGAAATTGAAGTAGGTTCTGTTGCTACTACTTCTGTGTACCAAGGCAAACTCTTTAACCTCTGGCAATTTGATGTTCTCGGCTTGTTGGTGCTGTTAGTTCAATATTCGCAAATTCCACGATAATTTCTCCTCTAGTTACTCTCATCTCTGGTGTTTCCTGTTGAACAAGTTCTCTAGCGGAGTATAATTGTGCATAACAATTGTGTTGAGAGAGAAACTCACCAATCTTCCTAATGTAGTCCTCAAGTTTATTTTGTTCTTCATCGTTTTGAAGAACACCTCTAAGCGATTCAATGTGAGGGTTTGTAGCGAAATCTGAATCTAGTGTATAAATTTCTGCAAACTTCTCTTGACCATTTTCTTGAGCTATCATGCCTTCAACTCTATGGAATAAACATCCGTTGATGGTCATTGAATAAGCTCTACCTCTTGAATCACCAGTACAGACTGTTCGAGAATACTTAGAAGTCATTGGATCCGATAAGATATTCTTCATTTACTGTGGAGGTTCTTTGAATATGTCACTGAGTAAAATTTTGTCCGTATCGCAACAAAGAGATGGCAATTCAGTATCGATAAGGAGTGCATAGCAATAATCGCAACACTTCTCAAAGTCACCTGGATTATACACTGAGTCCCGTGGTCTCCGCTGTTGTTGTTGTTCATAAACTGGATCATCATTCTCATCAAAACCGTTGGTGTCATCCTCAATGATGTATTCAAAGTTGGGATCATAATCACAGGCAACCATCACGTCTAATTTCTTCTAACGCTCTTTCTGCTACCTGTGCTGCGTTTCTTCAACTATCTCCTATTCTATAGGTCATAGTTCCATTATCAAGTTCAGGTTCATGTTCAGGCATTAGCGGCTGTTGTAGTACATCTGTGATCTCTGAATGGGTATTCTGTGACAGAACTTGGATGTTTCTTGGTTCCATATCTTGTTCTCATAACAGGTCAGTTAGTCCATCTCAATAAGTAGTGGGTCTTCTTGTTGTGTCGTACCTCAATTCGTTTGAAGTTGCCGCTGTGGTTCTGGATTAGCCGCTGATGTTTCTTCTTCAGGTGGAGGACGTCCTTTGAAGGTTCCAATGAGAGTTTTCCGGAGTTTCTTTGGTTGTTATCTGACCATTCTTCCGTACTTGCTTGATCTTTTGTTCTTGGCCATTATT